TCATTTATTTTATTGACAGTATACAGATTTTGATATATTGCATTACAATACTGACTGCTAGATTTCTTAGATTTAGTTTAGATTTACTGTAGATTTTTCTTTTTTACAATAAAAATAATCTCATGCCAGTGTTCAGTAACCAATAATATCAATTCAAATTTAATGACAGTTTTATTAAACTAAGAATCTCATATCACAGAGCATTCACAGTGCAGGAGGTCACAGTTATTGAAAAAATAAATAGCGGGATAAACATACTCGTTATTTACAACTTTTCAGCTCGATGCTCCTGCTTTGCCCATTAGAGAGAGAATGAACAAAGATGGTGGCGTGCAGCTCAGCACGCCAGAACGATCTTAGGGGGACTCGAATGATGTGTGAACAGCCCCGGACTGTCTTGGTTTTGGTTGTTTTTAAGGAGGTTCTTTCAGGACACAAGAGTCCTCTCATTCCATCTACCTGCTACTTGGTAGGTCAGGACGAGGCCCAGGAAGACCCAGGTCTCCCTTAGAAACCGCGTCCAGCATCCCCTTGGGCATCTTGGATCGGCCTGGCCTCTCCTGGCCCCACCCCTTCCTTAGCAACTCCTGCATCTACCCAAAGACCTGGCTGCATCTGGCTGACAGCCTTTTTCCTCTCTAGGTAATCAAAGCTCTCTTTGTGCTCAGACACCAGCAACTACTCCCTGCTGGCGGCTGCTCGGCAGGAGACACAGGCAGAGGCGCCCTCCCAGGGAGTGTGTGCTCTGAAATGGAGACTCAGCCTCACAGACCAGCAACCCCCACTATTGGGCTCCCTAAGAGCTGGCCACCGTGGCTCAGCCAGAGTTCTGTCTGCAGGGGCTCCAGGTCCCCCAGGTCCAAGCCTCGTGCAGGAAGCTCAAGGAAGCAGACAGTGTGGTCATGGGGTCAGGGCAGGAATGAAAGGTGAGGGCAGGGATGCCCAGTGGCCACAAAAAAAAAAAAAAACCAAAAAACTCACAAGAACATCTTGTTTGGAAAAACAGAGCTTCCTTCTTCACACTCCAGTCATTTTCAGGAGGGGAAAGTCCTCTCTTTTTCCATTGAAAGAGGACTGCGTGTCTGTCCGGAATGGACTTGGGAAATTCTGTGTTGAGAATTCTGGAGTGGCAGCAAAGAAGGCTCTGTTGCTTCGGACATTCCCTTTAGGCACAAAGGCAGATCACACCAAACCATGCATCTAGAAACCAAAAGCTGCTCATTCCCTCTCCTGATAGCACAAAACATTTGTTTTCCAGTGATGGGGTGATGAGGGTTCTGATTCTCTGCAGGATTAAGAATTTTATTGCCCTGGTCCACAGACAAGTCCCAAGCAACATGTTGTATAAGAAGCAACTGCTTGGGCTGGGTGCAGTGGCTCACGCTTGTAATCCCAGCACTTTGGGAGGTCAAGGCAGGAGGATCACGTGAGGCCAGGAGTTCAAGACCTACCTGGGCAACACAGCAAGATCCTGTCTCTAAAAAAAAAAAATAAATTAGCTGGGTATGGTGGCATGTGCCTGTATTCCCCGCCACTTCGCGGGCAAATGCAGGAGGATCACTTGAGCCTAGGAGTTTGAGGATTTGTGAGCTGTGATCAAGCCACTGTACTCCAGCCTGGGCAACAGAATGAGACCCTTTCTCAAAAAGAAAAAAAAAAAAAGCAACTGTTTGTATTCTAGCAACAGTGGGAATAGGCGAGGCTTAGGCTGGCATTCACTGGGATTATAACTAAGGAGCAGCCAATTCCCAGACTTGTAAATCCAAGGGATGGCAAAGCCACACAGCCAAGGGCTCAACTTTCCCAGAGGCACAGTGTGGATTTCAGCTCTCAGAGATGCCGCCTGTGCCCTCGAGTCCCGGTACCAGGGTATCCCAGCATCAGACATCGTCCTAGCCTAGAAGAGAGTGTGTTGTCAGCCCCGTTAGAAGCAGGAGGAAGATTCACAACGTTGACAGCTGGACACTGACACCATGAGATCTGATAAAGAGCCTTAGAAACATGCAGGCAAAAGACGAAAGACAACCAGTGCCCCTGGCAGTGTGTGCTTGTTGTTTGAAGGTTTAACAGAGACAATGGCACCTGGGAGCCATTTGTCATGGAAAAGTTAGGAGTTTTAAAACCCCCATAAAATAATCAAAGCCCTAAAACCTCTCAGCTCGCTTCCCTGAAAAGACAGCACCACCCTGGTTACAGAATGGAAGGGAAGTATCTCTTCTCCTGACTCAGGGCGGGTATCCCTTTCCTTGGGTTGGGAACACAGTGACAGGCTGGACATTCTCCCATTAGCTACCCAGCCTAAAGCTGAGCACAAAATTAGTGTCCCTTATCAACAAGCAAATACAGCAATCTAAATCAAAATGTCTTTTTTGGCCAGGCACGGTTGCTCATGCCTGTAATCTCAGCACTCTGGGAGGCCGAGGCAGGCGGATCACTAGAGGTCAGGAGTTCGAAACTAGCCTGACCAACATGGTAAAACTCCTCTACTAAAAGTGCAAAAATTAGCCAGGTGTGGTGGCATGTGCCTGTAGTCCCAGCTACCTGGGAGGCTTAGGTGGGAGAATCGTTTGAACCCGGGAGGCAGAGTTTACAATGAACCAAGATGGCACCACTGCACTTCAGCCTGGGCAACAAAGTGAGACCCTTTCTCTCTCTCAAAAAAACAAAAGCCTTTTTAAAACCTGTACCCTGGCTGGGCACAGTGGCTCACGCCTGTAATCAAAGCTCTTTGGGAATCCAAGACCGATGGATCACGAGATCAGGAGTTCAAGACCAGCCTGGCCAAGATGGTGAAACCCCATCTCTATTAAAAATACAAAAATTAGTCGAGCACGGTAGCGGGCACCTGTAGTCCCAGCTACTCGGGAGGCTGAGACAGGAGAATCACTGGAACCCAGGAGGGGGAGGTTGCAGTGAGCTGTGATGGAGCCACTACATTCTAGCCTGGGTACAGAGCAAGACTCCATCTCAAAAACAAAAAAACCTGTCCCCTGTGGATATGCCCTTTGGGGAACAGCTCTTTGCAGCAAGGTGAAGGGGCCCCCACACAAGCCAGCTGGCAAAGGTTGTGGCTCAAAGTGAACAGCAAAGTCCTATGTTCTCTGCCCTGTGGGACAGGCCTAGAGAAAGACCCCCTTGCTCTTGTTCCCATATAACTGACACAGTGGGGAAGATTTTCCCAAAGGACAGGAAGGGCCCCTGTCCATGCTTGGAGAAGCCCCACAGGGAGGCTTCATGCCTGAGGGGCTCACAGGATGAGCTACAGAGACCAGGAAATCCTTTGGGTGTGCACACATAAAGAGAGGGCAAGGGTGGTGCTTCGGGCCCAGGATTGGGTGGGGGTTGATGGACTTCCTGCCACCCAAGATTTGCCCACAGGGAATTTTCAGAAATTTCTAGAAGTTTCTATGGGCACGGTGTGGCAACAAAGCTGCCAAGATGAGGACCACCTCAGGTGCCCATGTATGCCAGCTAACTGCCCCCAGGGAAGGATGTCCCCTATGGAAATCACATCTGGAAGGCATCAGAGAGACCATGAATATTTAAAGCATGGCACTTGGGTACAATCTCCTGAGGATTTTCACCCTAACAGGTAAGTTCTTTGTTTATTTGAGCCACAAGCATTTGCTGAGAGTGATCACAGGGACAGCACAGCCACCTTTTTCCAGCCAGGGAGAAGCATGGCTGGGAAGGAAAGGGAAGGAAGGGGTGGGAGACAAAAGACCAACCCCTCCCCCTAGGACCCATTCACCCTGGGCAGAAAGGACTCTGCTTCTCAGCTGCTGAATCCCAGGGGGAAAGTTTCAAAATACGGCAACAGAACCTTCCGAGTTCCAGTTTCCTAAGCCCCACTCATCCATCTCACGTGGAGGGAAGGCACAGAAGGCAGCCTCAGCCACTGGCTTGGGATTCGCTCTTGCTTTTTCCCAGCAGGGGATGAACTCTGATCCTCTCCCCTACCTCTCCTGTCCCTCTGTCCACACCAGCTTTAAGGAGGGGGACGGGCCCCAGGATTTAGAGGGGAGAAAGGACAGGCAGAAAGCAGGGTATCCAGCAACGACACCACCCACACCCTTCCCGAATTCCTGGTCTGCACTGGGAGTCAGGGATGTGGGCTCCTACCGATGCTATTAGGCTTACAAACTCCTGTTAACAGGGAAGAGCAGGTGGAAGAAACTTGGACCCGGAACGCCCAGGAACGGGCTTTGGTCAGGGTCTGCAGGACTGCCCTTGGGTGATACACACACCCCACCTGGTCAGGGAAGCTTGGTGCCTCATCAGCAGCTTGGGTCTGTCAAGGCAGGGGACCCACAAGGGCAAAAGCAAGAAACAATCCTAACAAGTGAGGCATAATGAGCAGGTGAAAATTCACAAGGGCAGGCTGGGTGTGGTGGCTTACACCTATAATCCCAGCACTTTGGGAAACTGAGGTGGGTGGATCACCTGAGGTCAGGAGTTCAAGACCAGCCTGGCCAACATGGTGAAACCCCCGTTTTTAGTAAAAAATATAAAAATTAGCTGGGTGTGGTGGCATGCGCCTATAATCCCAGCTACTTGAGAGGCTGAGGCATGAGAACTGCTGGAACTCGAGAGGCGGTTTGCAATGAGCCAAAATGGCACTACTGCACTTCAGTCTGGGCAACAGAGTGAGATGCTGTCTCAAAAAATAAAAACAAGAAAATTCATAAGAGCACCCAGCTCTGTGCATAAGGAGGAGACACCAGTGACAAGGGGAAGAGACACAAGGGCCAGCAGACTGTGGGTAACAGAAAGGATAGGGCGGGTAAGGTGAGGACTGTCCTGCTCATGGTGTCCATAATCACCAGTCTCTCACTACAGCTGACCCAGAGCCTTCCTCCAGGGTCAGGTTCTCAAGATACTGGATACCTTCTACCTTAACCACGCTTGACCTGGTGAGGTCAAATTCCAAACTAGAAGTCCACAGGAACCACTTGCTCCTGTGTCTATAGGCATTTTCCATCTGAGTACAATGGTTTCTGTTTTCCTTCTTTCCTGCCCTCAATGAGAAGAGCTAAATTCATTTTTTCCAATTGCCTATTTCCGTACCAGAGTAACTACCCCATGCTAATTAGCTTTGGGAATAAAATAAAGTAATCCTGCATAGTGATGAAAGCGTAATTTAAAAATGATGGCCTAATTCATCATGCAATTTTTTAAACTTGTGATGGAAAAATATTTAGTTAAAAAAGAGAATTTTCCACCTACAGTGTACATATAGTTTTCTAGATTTAATAGATGCATAGATCCTTTGAAGGAAATTACATTGGCACATTAAAGTCAAAAGAAAATTAGCCAAAAGGAGCATGTCACATATTAAAAACATCATTTTAGTTTCTAACTGCAACTTTAGAGACCAAAAGTATCCATTTATAATCTCAAATGGATTCTGCTGAGGAAGAGGAGGCTAATTAGGATATGTATGCTCTGAAAGCTACACCAGGCTTCAGAGAATCGAAAACCAGCAGGGATGCCAACAGGGGCCACGTGGCCTGTGCCTTGTCATAGCTAAAAATAATTTTTGGTCTTCTTTTCAAGAAAAAATAGAGGCATTGGATAGGGACAGATATTAGGATACGACCTGAGGAACCCAGGAGTCAATGATATATTGAAGAGGTTTTGACTCAAACAGTAAGAACCAACCAGCAGGATGAAGTCATACCCACACTCACTCCCCAAGTGTGGCCAACTCAGAGGCTGGACTGGGAGGGGTGATGGGCTGGGGCTTGGCCTCCCTTCTGCTATGACTGGCCACTGAACTAGAGTCCCTTGACCTCTCGAAGACACTACGTTCTGTTAAATGGGGAGAATCATCCCCACATACATCACAGGGCCGTTTGGAGAATCAAAACAGAGACAGAAGCACTTTGGAACCTGGCTGAGCCTGTAAGGTGGGAGGAAACAGGAGAACTAAGCTACTCAGGGCACAGAGTGGACCCAAGGGCTCTGGAGTCCCGGAAGCTAAAGCTTATACTGGTGAACCTGCAGGGTCCCTGCCTTCGTGCTTTGCTGATTTCTTAGGAAAACCACCCTCACCCTCAAGTGGAAGACCACCACAGAGCCCAATTTTTAGGTAAAAAACAAAAAGAGAAAAACCTGAACTTGGTGTAGCCATGATACAAATACTGATGTGAATCCCGAATAGAAGCCTGGGGGTGGGGGTGAGGGCCCGAGGCAGGCTCACGCAACAGGGAAGCCAGGGACACAAGCATGAACGCTTCCTCCTTTTGAAACTCAGGAGGCCCTAAAGAGCACAGAAATTTCCACCCGGGTCACCACCTTTGAGTCTCAGGAAGGGATTAGCTACTGGATTTAAACTCATAACTATGTTGAAAGCAATGTCTGGTGAATCACGAAAAATGTTCTTTCCTCTTACATCATCATGGGTAGTTCCCATACATTCATCCGTGCAAAATATCTCAATATTCAAAGTGCATCAAATCGGATAGACTTTTGCAATAGAAATATTAAAAAAATAAAAAACCTCTCTATAAAATTAATTGTGCTTTCTTTTTTTAGAAACCATACCTGGTTTGTATTCATACATCTTTTAAATATATATTTGAGAGCTATGAAGTGGTGGAAAATTATTTTACATCTTTCTATGTAGTTTTGAGTCAGCCTTCCATTTGTGGCCTTTCACATGTAAATGACATGATTCCAGAAGCTTAGCTCTAAATATTCTAAATGATGATTTTCACGCTTGCCTTCAGCTAACCAGAAAGCAATTTGTTGTATCGCAGGCAATGTCTCTTCTCGTCACTAACCAGCACTTCGGACTCTCAGTCCAGTTCAGCAGGCTATGAAATTTGTTGGGCAAATAAACAACTGGGCCTTTCCACAGGGTGCTTTTGAAACTACAGCATTAACAAAGACATGACAAACCCACATGGACAGTGCATTGTCACATAGAAGATCTGGAAAGTACAGCTGTAAACTATAATCTCCAGTCTCTGAGTTAGCACCTTTCCACGTCCGTCTCTCCCCTTTTTCTCTATCCCAAACCAAGCATCTCAGCGCCAATGCAAGATGGTGCACAGAGGATCTGTGTCTCTATGCTCATGACCTTTCTGGTCGGTATCACGATCCTTTCATATGGAATGGAAGTTTTCAAGTATGATGACCTAGATGATGTTTCCTTTTTAATATTTCATTGCTTATTCTCTGAATGCATCAATTAAAGTGGGAAGAATATTCATCACTCATTTTCTCTCTTCTGCAGAAGAAGATTATTTTCATTCTTCCAGTTTTTCCAGGAAAAGGGGTAGAATGTCTGCCATCATGGGCCCTAAACCCCCAACAGGTTGAGGTCTTGCCTCTTCCAAACCGTGGGTGCTTCAAGCAGAAGTTGGAGGCTCCCAGGAGTACCTGCTGCCTAAGGAACCACCTCTGGGCCAGAGGTGACACTTCAGAACAACATTCCTATTTTGCACCTGCCCTATGAGAGCTCCTGCTCACAAATGACTTCATTTTCAAGGCTGCCTGCGGAACAGAAAGACAAACTGCATGCAGAAGTCCTTCTGACTAACGTGTGCAGGAGAGACGAGATGCCCACACATCTCTGTGGTTGGCAGCTCAGGGGTCTTGGAAGCTGCTCAGATAATGGCCCCCGAATCCAGCCTTGCAGGGGCGGAACTCCAAGGAGGAGGAGGATGCCCGGCAGCCTGGCCTGTGACCAGACAAAGACCACATGGCTCTTCCTTCCAGTGCATGAAAGAACAGACGGTGGCTGCCTATGCAGGAGAGACCTGTGGTGGGGGTGGTGGGGAGAGGAGGACGCCAGTGTCACAGGGTGTCCAGATCAGCTCCCAGGGGCTGCGACTCAGCGCTAATCGTCTTCCCGGCACATCGGCAAGTTGACGAAGGTAAAGACGTTAAACTCTATCATTATGGAGAAGCACAAGAAGATGGCGTAGAGAACCAGCACGTAGACGCCCAGCTTTCGGTCCAGCCGCCACTTGTTTAGGTGGATACCGAGGACCTGGGAGGACAGAGTGCGGGAGCTAGGCTTGCGGGGCAAAGAAATACAAGAGGCATTTCTACAGGAAAGCGACACCTACGTGAGGAAGCCTAGAACATTCTGCAGAATGTGGGCAAGTATAGGGGATGCTGCAGGAAGATCCTCAGTTTGGCCTGAATAAGTGAGAGGGCTTAGACTTGCCCCATGAAAGGGCGAGTCTCTGGCCCAGCCGCATTGACTCAGGGACACACAGCAGCTGCCCTCATAGGACCGACCCGGCCAAGGCAGGCACGTCACTTCCTCCTGGTCGGTCATAGGCATGTGGTCCTCCTTGCCCAGGCCTTCTCCAGAGACAAACGGGGGCTTTAGCTGTATGACCCTTGTGCTTCAGAGCGTGGCACCATGATTTTTTCCCCCACTTCCTTAGCACAATTTCCAAGCCTCCTATGGATCCCTGGCTTTGCAAATGTCTGCTTGAGCGCTCTCTCTCTCTCCCTCTCTCTCTCTCTCTCTCTCTCTCTCTGTGTGTGTGTGTGTGTGTGTGTGTGTGTGTGCGTGTGTTTGGGGTAGAGGGTTAAAGCACAGAATTATCCTACATTCCTCCCTGACCCTTCTGTCCTTCCTTCCACTGCCTTCCTCCTTGTCCCTCAATCAAGGCTTCCTGGGGCTGGATCCCAGGAACCTCACTGGAGCCTTGGGGGTCAAAAGTTATGAGTTCCATCAGAACAGACCAACCTGGGTTCAAATCCTAGCTTTGCCATTGTCCAATTCTGTGACACCGGGAAAGTTAACCCCTGAGCCCCGATTTCTTCTGCAATGGGAATGATAATAGCACCTCCCTCATCGGGTGGTTGTAAGGAGAGAATAACGTGACGCCAAAGTCAAGTGCTCGGCACAGGCTTGGGCATGTTGGGGAAGGAGGCCTCGATTATCCCGACATGCCATCCTGAGGGATGTCACACCTCCCATTTGTTAGGTCAGATGGGCAGGGGAAGATTTCTCTCCTGATGGCACTAGAGAGGGATTGGGCCAGGCCACAGGAAGGAAATGCTGTTCACTTCCTCTGGGGACTTCTTATGTACTCAGGGAAAGCACAGTGAGGTGCTGATGCTCATGGCAGAAACCGGACTTAGGTGAATCTGTGAAAGCCTACATCTTCTTTCCTTTATCCTTCACTACCAAGAGAAGTGACAGGGGTGTTCAGAGTCACGTAAGTGACGAGGCGGAATCAGATGAAATCAAGTATGCATGAGGCATCTGTGTTGGAATTGTAAACACTCACGGTGAGAGCGACAGAGCCCAGCAACAGGACCACCGAATAGACCAGCCCCCGGCTATTGATCTTCACCTGGAAAATCAAACACACGTGCCCTGAATCTCTTGACTGCTGAGAGCCAATCCATCCTGAAATCCCAGCGTGCCTCGGCCAGTGCATTCCCTCATCAGGAAAACACAGGTGTTTACGGGTGACCATATGGCCACGAAGGGCCAGGGAAATATGGATTCAAGTCATGACGCTGCTCATCTGAGGAGTTGGCCTGGACGGGGACAGGCACGCCAGTGGGCTAAGATAAGGGGTGGAAGTGCTGACATCCCTAAGATGCTCTGGAAGCTGTCATGGAAAGTGGGTGCCTGAGGGCCACAGAGAAGAGGAGGGCATCTCCCAGAGCCTCTGGCTGGAACTGGGCCAACACCACTAGCCTCTCCGGTAAAACACATCTGTTCAAGGCGAGAGGAACTTACCGTTGATCCGTAATTAACAACCATGGTCTGCAGGCCCCATGGTACGCCAAGTCCTACCAGGATGTCAAACACGTTGCTTCCTATGGTGTTGGAGACTGCCATGTCCCCAAGACCTGCAGGGGACAATGACACATCTCTTTTATTAAGAACGGGTCACCAGAAACCTATATTCTTTCTCTCAACTGCTCTATCAGCGCCATTCCTTGGAAAGGAATTCCTTCTTCAAGGACCTTACATTTCTAAAAGCTTTTCGCGAGGCCTGAGATTCGCTCCCTTCCTGAAGCCTAAAGGGGACTACTATGGGTTGACAGTGACCCTTCAAATTCAGATGTTGAATTTCTAACCCTCAGTACCTAAGAATGTGGCTTTATTTGGAGATAAGGTCTTTATAGAGGTAACGGGTTGAAATGAGTTCTTGAGGGTGGGCCAATATGACTGGTGTCCTTATAAAAAGAAGAAATTTGGACACACAGGGAGAACCTGGGCAAACATGAAGACAGCCAAGGACACAGAAGCAAGAGCGGCCCAGAACAGATTCTGCTTCAGGCTTCTGGCCCCCAGAACCATGAGACAATACACTTCGGTTGTTCATGGCACCCGGTTGTGGGAAAGACGGCCCCGCAGACGCATATGGGCTCTTCAGGATCTCTCCTGCCAGGCTCGTCAGCTGAAGTTCTCCGAGGACTTCCGGCGGATGTCCCCCACTTCATGCTCCCAGCTACCCTGGGCTGGGCGTCGGTGTGGGGCATCACCTCATGTCACAGATGATGGAACTGAGGCTTGGGATGTGCCCAAGGGCATGGTTTGCAGGTGGCCCAACGACACCTGGTCCAGCATCCTTTATAACAGGCCTTGAAGCATATTTGGGACCCAGGCATGTCCCTACTTCATGTCCCATCTGGAATCTGTCACTGTGGCTTTATTTGGAAATAGGCTCTTTGAGGATGTGCTCAAATTAAGGTAAGGTCATACTGAATTTGGGTGGGTTCTAATCTGTTAACTGGTGTCCTTATAAGAAGGAGGAAGTCAGCCGGGCGCAGTCGCTCATGACAGTAATCCCAGCACTTTCGGAGGCTGAGGCAGGTGGATCATGGATCACTTGAAGCCAGGAGTTCGAGGCCAGCCTGGCCAACAAAAGTACAACTAAATTAAAAAAATTTAGTCTCTACTAAAAGTACAAAAATTAGCTGGGTGTGGTGGTGCATGCCTATAGTCCTGGCTACTCGGGAGGCTGAGGCAGGAGCACTGTTTGAACCCAGGAGGCAGAGGCTGCAGCAAGCTGAGATTGCGCCACTGTACTCCAGCCTGGGTTACAGAGTGAGACTCCATCACACACACACACATACACACACACACAAAATAGAAGAAGAAGAAGAAACATGGAGGAGGAGGAGGAGGAGG